GTTGGTTCACTATTGCCAGTCATCACTAGATAATTTTGGTTCACTATTGCCAGTCATCACTAGACAAATGTTGGTTCACTATTGCCAGTCATCACTAGATAATGTCGGTTCACTATTGCCAGTCATCACTATATAATGTTGGTTCACTATTGCCAGTCATCACTAGATAATGTTGGTTCACTATTGCCAGTCATCACTAGACAAATGTTGGTTCACTATTGCTAGTCATCACTAGATAATGTTGGTTCACTATTGCCAATCATCACTAGATAATGTCGGTTCACTATTGCCAGTCATCACTAGATAATGTTGGTTCACTATTGCCAGTCATCACTAGATAATGTCGGCTCACTATTGCAAGTCATCACTAGATAATGTCGGTTCACTATTGCCAGTCATCACTAGATAATGTTGGTTCACTATTGCCAGTCATCACTAGATAATCTTGGTTCACCATTGCCAGTCATCACTAGATAATGTTGGTTCACCATTGCCAGTCATCACTAGATAATGTTGGTTCACTATTGCCAGTCATCACTAGATAATGTTGGTTCACTATTGCCAGTCATCACTAGATAATGTTGGTTCACTATTGCCAGTCATCACTAGATAATGTTGGTTCACCATTGCCAGTCATCACTAGATAATGTTGGTTCACTATTGCCAGTCATCACTAGATAATGTCGGTTCACTATTGCCAGTCATCACTAGATACTCTTGGTTCACTATTGCCAGTCATCACTAGATAATGTTGGTTCACTATTGCCAGTCATCACTAGATAATGTTGGTTCACTATTGCCAGTCATCACTAGACAAATGTTGGTTCGCTATTGCTAGTCATCACTGGACAAATGTTGGTTCACTATTGCCAGTCATCACTAGACAAATGTTGGTTCACTATTGCCAGTCATCACTAGATAATGTCGGTTCACTATTGCCAGTCATCACTAGATAATGTTGGTTCACTATTGCCAGTCATCACTAGACAAATGTTGGTTCACTATTGCCAGTCATCACTGAACAAATGTTGGTTCACTATTGCCAGTCATCACTAGATAATGTTGGTTCACTATTGCCAGTCATCACTAGACAAATGTTGGTTCACTATTGCCAGTCATCACTAGACAAATGTTGGTTCACTATTGCCAGTCATCACTAGACAAATATTGGTTCACTATTGCCAGTCATCACTAGATAATGTTGGTTCACTATTGCCAGTCATCACTAGATAATTTTGGTTCACTATTGCCAGTCATCACTAGACAAATGTTGGTTCACTATTGCCAGTCATCACTAGATAATGTTGGTTCACTATTGCCAGTCATCACTAGATAATGTTGGTTCACTATTGCCAGTCATCACTAGACACATGTTGGTTCACTATTGCCAGTCATCACTAGACAAATGTTGGTTCACTATTGCCAGTCATCACTAGATAATGTCGGTTCACTATTGCCAGTCATCACTAGATAATGTCGGTTCACTATTGCCAGTCATCACTAGATAATGTTGGTTCACTATTGCCAGTCATCACTAGATAATGTTGGTTCAATATTGCTAGTCATCACGAGATAATGCTGGTTCACCATTGCTAGTCATTACTAAATCACATTGATTTACTATTGCAAGTCAACACTATATCACATTCACTATTGCCAGTCATCACTAGGTAATGTTGGTTAACTACTGCCAGTCATCACTAGATCATGTCGGTTCACTATTGTCAGTCATCACTAGATAATGTTGGTTCACTATTGCCAGTCATCACTAGATAATGTTGGTTCACTATTGCCAGTCATCACTAGACAAATGTTGGTTCACTATTGCCAGTCATCACTAGATAGTGTTGGTTCACTATTGCCAGTCATCACTAGATAATGTTGGTTCACTATTGCCAGTCATCACTAGATAATGTTGGTTCACTATTGCCAGTCATCACTAGATAATGTTGGTTCACTATTGCCAGTCATCACTAGACAAATGTTGGTTCACTATTGCCAGTCATCACTAGATAATGTTGGTTCACTATTGCCAGTCATCACTAGATAATGTTGGTTCACTATTGCCAGTCATCACTAGATAATGTTGGTTCACTATTGCCAGTCATCACTAGACAAATGTTGGTTTACTATTGCCAGTCATCACTAGATAATGTTGGTTCAATATTGCTAGTCATCACGAGATAATGCTGGTTCACCATTGCCAGTCATCACTAGATAATGCTGGTTCACCATTGCTAGTCATTACTAAATCACATTGATTTACTATTGCAAGTCAACACTATATCACATTCACTATTGCCAGTCATCACTAGGTAATGTTGGTTAACTACTGCCAGTCATCACTAGATCATGTCGGTTCACTATTGTCAGTCATCACTAGATCATGTCGGTTCACTATTGTCAGTCATCACTAGATCACATTGATTCAATATTGCTAGTCATCACTACGTCACATTGGTTAAATAATGCTAGTCATCACTACGTCACATTGGTTCACTATTGCCAGTCATCACGAGATAATGTTGGTTCACTATTGCCAGTCATCACTAGATAATGTTGGTTCACTATTGCCAGTCATCACTAGATAATGTTGGTTCACTATTGCCAGTCATCACTAGATAATGTTGGTTCACTATTGCAAGTCATCACTAGATAATGTTGGTTCACTATTGCCAGTCATCACTAGATAATGTTGGTTCACTATTGCCAGTCATCACTAGATAATGTCGGTTCACTATTGCCAGTCATCACTAGATAATGATGGTTCACCATTGCAAGTCATCACTAGATAATGTCGGTTCACCATTGCTAGTCATTACTAAATCACATTGATTCACTACTGCCAGTCATCACTAGATAATGTTGGTTCACTATTGCCAGTCATCACTAGATAATGTTGGTTCACTATTGCCAGTCATCGCTAGATAATGTTGGTTCACTATTGCAAGTCATCACGAGATAAATGTTGGTTCACTATTGCCAGTCATCACTAGATAATGCCGGTTCACTATTGCCAGTCATCACTAGATAATGATGGTTCACCATTGCAAGTCATCACTAGATCACATCAATATTTCTAGTCATCACTAAGTCATTTTGGTTAACTAATGCTAATCATCATTAGATCACTTGGTTCACCACTGCCAGTCATAACTAGATAACAGTGGTTCATTATTGCTAGGCATCATTACGTCACATTGGTTCACAGTTGCCCATCATCACACTAGATCATCATTAGATCACATAGGCAGACTACTCCAAGTCACAACTACAGCCACAAAATGAAATGCTTTCCTCATTCAACTCCATACTTTAATAATCATTTTAAAAACAAAACAATTCATTATAGAATTGTATTTTATTTCTTTAATATATATACAGCATCGTCACTTGACAAATGATATAGTTATTGAAAACTATTAATAAAACTTCAGACAGCAATGACCTGATCTCTATACTAATAGCTGTGATGCTTAAAATTCATTGATTCATCAATCCAAACGAAAAAATAATAGTGAATTAGAACCTTTATTAATTTTTTTAAAATGCCAAAATCACACTTTGTAGCATATAAATTGCTATCTGGAAATATAATTTTTTAATAGGACATTTCCATCGACTGCAAGATCTTGAGTTATGCGCTAAATCAAACATAAAAACAGAAAAAGGTCATAGCGTCCTAGTTGCGTCAAAAGTTTTCCATGCTTAATGTGCTATACACATTTGATGATCAATTTTGATGAAGTAATGATATCCCAACGCCATATTCCTCTCTGAAACATCAGCATTTCAATATTGAACAATAACAAATAAATTCAAGTTCAAAATAAAGATCTTGCAGTGAACAAAAAATTACCTATTGTTAGTAATTTTTAAGCTACACCCAGCCAACGATAATACTGTGGTGGCACATTTGTCACAAGATGAGTGAGCCAAATACCTTTTTATTTAGTAAATAATGTCAGAACACAAATATGAAAGAAAATGGTTGAGTATATGAGCATACTGTAATTGTAGCTACCCACAATGAATCAGACTATTCACCTGTTGTGATTCAGCGAGGTAATATTGTATGCTTTGAGTATTATATATTCTATAACAAAAAAACAAGTGCATGCGCATACACAGCCAGTAGTATAGGGTCAATAAAAGATGCTATTTTCGGTAAATATTCATGATGCATGTTAATGAAGCGTGTAAACATCGCTGGAAGACGAAAAAAAAACATTTTTAATATAGTCCCCTCAGTACATACAGCATTTAAGTTGCGTTCAGGCAAATCTTAATTCATAGATTATCAATTGAATTTGTGCATGTCAATTACCCAACATGCATGTACAAAGTACATATATTCTGAATGCTTGGCTGGAAGTACAGTTGGATATATTTCTTAAAATTCTTTTCTGTATTAAATAGAGCGAAAACAAATTTTTGTACACGTACATTTAGTTTTCCTGAAATGTTCAGTGATGAACTGGAAATTATATGGTCTGCATTTTTGTGCAAAATAACAATGTGAAGGGTAAGAAAATTAATAAAATTATAATCTTTTGTGGATTTGAACTTGAAAGCAATGCAGTCAATACAATTTGTTCATCGTTTTGAGAAACCAATGTGGGATTCAGCAACCCAGTGGAAAAAGTAAAAGTGGACGTTTTCTCGTTTCACCTTCAAATCTTGTTCATACAATCTACTTTAATAGCAAAGAATGTTACAAAACATGTCCACCTGTGTTCTCGATATCCAAGCTTTCAGAATATATGTATACACTGTCATAGGTGCATATAGAGTGACTGACCGAAGCAATTCATTATGATGATTTCCCTGATCGCTACATTTAATTCAAAAGTAATTATAGATATTCTTGAAGTTACAGGAAATTCTGAAGAAAAGAAATAATTGAAAGCTGTGATTCAACCAGTGGTTTGTCACAGGATAGCGGGTAACCAATGGAGCAGTACACATTACCCTAAAAAGGAGAAACACCAGTTGCATTGAGGGTCAGGACATACTATTTATTTGGCACTATGGTCTACATTACAATTACAGAATCACTTCATTTTATTAGGTTGGGGGAGGGAAACAATACTCGCTGCTAGGTCCCATGTAGAAGGATGTAGAAGAGTACCTACAATTATCTCTCCAAATGAATTACCGGGGGTACATGCAAATACAGAAAAGAAAGCTTAGATAGGACCTCCTGTGTGCTGAAGGTTACTACTAATTGCAGGGAAAAATTAATTAAAATGAGGCAATTAAATGAAACAAAACTCTACATTTCATACGCCTATTCTTTTTTTAATCAAATGAGGTTCATGGACCTTAGTGGGGTCTTGAGAAATATTTGATGAACTGCCTTTGCATGAATTGTGGAAAATTAATAAATGTTCAAATATCAATGCTTTTCAACACTGAATTCTGGCAATGGTTTCAGTTTCACAATTTGATTGTGAGTTCTAATAGTGGACTCACACAGTTTCATAGTAAATCAAAACAAGGCAGAATCATGGCAAATCCTTGTTTTTTCTGCAAGAGTCCCAAGACTCCAATAAAGCTCTTCTTGTAATACACTAGAGTTCAATTTTAAGGGCCTGGAAATTCATGCTTTGAGACAATTTCTCTACAATGGCATGATTTACAGTACGGTATATCAGTCTTAAACATTTCCTGAATTGTTATTAAACAAAAGCTGATCAGGTGAAAAGATTAAAAGCAGCCAATATGATTGGAATATAGAGCGAAAGGGAAAATCAAAAGACTAAGTTTTGTGCTTTGCAACAACAAAAAAATATTTCAATCACCATACATCTCTTAGTTTCACAGCTCGAGGGTCAAACTTATTTCAATGATCGGGTTGTTACATGGTCTGTTGCAGAATGGTGAAAAACTGAACTGCAAGAGAAATATGGTTGGAAAACAAAAATGACAAATCATCAAGTAAATTTCCTCTAAAAATAGAATACATCCCAATATTCATTCAATTATTAAGATGTAGTCTACTTTTAGAAGAAATTATGATGTATTGTCATGGTAATTCCTTTTTCTTTGACCAGTGAGCTTGGGCAGGTATTTTGTAATGTACTCGCAACATGGTTGGATCTGCAGCATAAGGGTCATCAAAAGATTCATTCAGCATAAATACGAAAAATGGGTAGTACTTATAATTTTTTCTGCATTCATTCTGCCGCAACAATCTTTAACACAAGGAAAAGCAACAAACATTATAAATTAGCGTGCATCCTTCATTCAGTAAATAAAAAGTGATGGTATAGGATTGGTAGAGTAGGTTATGATAATTGAGAAGCAGACTGGTGCCATGACAATATTGGATTGAGTAAAAGATGATGCATCATGAAGTAGACACTGTAATGTACTGTAAAATACTTTATTTTAGCTGGAATTAATTTCCACTGAAAAGACTTTTCGGGTGTTTTTTTGTATGGAATTTATTTTCACTGATGATTTAAGTGTAAAATATAGGAAAAAATGTATATTCGCTGGATTTTATTTTCACTGAATTATCCCTTCAGCAAAAATAAACTCCAAGCAAAAATAAAGTAATTCACAGTATTCAGTAATGTGTAACTGACTGAGAGTGCCAAATAAAGTGATGACATGAGAAGCTTTCATTCGATTATTTAATTAAGGCCAACTTTGCCAATCTGGCAAGCAACATCAGCTGCTGGTTGATTTGTTTCGTCAACTGCTGCACCGTCCTGGTAGAACCTATTAAATCTTTGTTTTAGTACTTCACGTAGTTCTTTTCTTTGCACTGTCACTTTACTGCGATTAGCAGTAAATAACTTTATCTCTTCCTCGGATATGCAGTTCTCTTCGTCTGAAGAACACGGATCCTGAATCAAAACAGGACATTAATATAAAAAAAAGTGTGAATGATTTGTGTCTCTCTATGTGTGGAGTTTCATGCATGCTTTATTCTAGTGAAAAATCTAGTTAATCTTCTCACCACCAGACTTTCTTGCCAAAATTTGTCTGCACTTTTTTCTCATTTTCTTCAATTTTTCTGGAAATGAACCTTGGCTATTTTTTTTTATAAACTATCAATGTCAAGTTTGAAAGGGACTATCATACATCATGTATTACTGTAAGTAAAAAGTGGGAGTCACAATATATTTCAAGATATGTCATACTGTTTTTTTCGCATATATTACCAACCTCAAGCATGTCTTCAAGTTTAGCCGTCCATCCCATGGCTTTGTGTAGTTGTTTTTCATCTGTGCATTGACAGATACGACATACACCATTCAACCCGTCCTGAAAGTCAAACACATTCAGATATATGAGAACATGACAAAATAATAATACATAATTAAATATTCAACATAATTAACTAGTCAACAATGTTGAAGCAGCTACTATACATTACATTTACAAAACAAAATCACAAATTCTATTTACCGATGTGTTCGCAATCTTTGACTTTGACGATTTACCATTTTCACTACAAAGACATTCTGAATTAACTCCCTCAACCAATTCACCAGCTGAAGACAAAATAGCAAAGACATGAGAAGAAGCTAAAAAAATGTTTCAAGCATTAGGCACACACCCTGATTGTGTTATTTGGTACAAAAAAGGCCACCAGTCGATCAAATACATTCAATAAAATAACAAATTGACATGCACACGTATATCATTTTCTTCCCTGCCTTTGTAGCAAATGTAAACAAAATCTGTAAAAGCATAAACATAAAGTATCAGAGAAATAAGTAATGACACTGGAGTCAAAAAGTCATAGTTAAGTCGACTCTATGGAATCAACTGAAGAAACTAGAAAACATGTATGAGGAACCCACATGTTTTCTTCATGCTAAGAAGTCCTAAGCATCGTTGACAATGCAATGGTTGTATTTTTGTAGGGTTATTTGAATTACAATATATTGTATATGTCTCCCCATTCTGTCTTGTTGCAAATTTTAAACTCAATCAGTTGAGGCATATTAGAAATTATGTTGAACAGATGGATGGCTGGGGTGAGGCTTTGCAGTAATGTTGGGGCTATGTGTACAAACCTTGCTGAGGATTGTGATTCTCCTGGCAGTCTTTGGAATGACTTTCTGAACTTGATTCACTACAATACCCACCATCATTCGGACTATATTCTCCATAACCATTACACGTCTTATGTTCTTGTTCTTCACAATGACAAGTACTGGTAAGCTGAGTGGAAGATAACGCTTTCAAACCATGTTTGGACAATTCACAGGTATCACACGGGTCCGTATTGTCATTACGATCAACCGCCTGTATTTAACACAAACCACAGATTGTTTATATTTTGACAATTTGAACAAACTTACACAAGCTACCAAAATGTATCACACTTCTAGGTTCACATACAACTACACAAAGTGATCAACTTAAAAACCACACTGGCCACGACTCCTCGTAAAGCCGATCGCAACACAAAATGACATGTACCAAGGTCTCATGCTGTTCAATAAATGTACTAAAGCTTGTAACTAACAAAATCCACCTATAATTAACAAGATCAAGTTTTTGAATGGCAGCAGTGCTTGATTTTGGTGCATTTTTAGAACTAACATGGCCGGCCATCATGAATCAGATCACTAAATATGCATGCGAACGCATGTATGTATCCCGAAATATATCAACACAGCGGTTGAGCACAAACTAACCTTTTGGCAATTTGCTTTAGCACACTGCCCAAGTGGTTTGGAGTCTGTACACTTTGGTTTACTTTTCCTGGGTATTTCAGGTTCTGCAGTTGGCACAAGATCCTCAGCTGATTCACTTCGGTTTTTCTTCTTGGCTTTCTTCCTTTGTTTTTTCTGTTCTTTACGCTGCTGTTTGGCTTTCTCAGCTTCATTGATTTCTTCACACACCAGTTCAAGCATAGTAACGCCTTGTTTATCTTCTATAGCCACCTGTAAGTCAATACACAAGATTAGTACAACCTATAACAACCAACAGTAATAACAAATCCTATATAATGGGCCAAAGCCACTAATTAACTCAAACAAGGGTCTTGGGGACAACTGAAATCCAAATCAGATTAAAATAGTTGGAGGGCTGTCTTTAGGGCAATATCATTTCACTTGTATCTCTGATATAAAGTTTTGCAAATAATTATTGTGAAATCTTACTTCAAAGCTTTTCTTCAAAGCAGTAACTCCAAGATAGAATAGTATTTGCCATGTCTGCTCCTCTGCTCGCAACTTCTGCCATATTCTATACAGTCTCTCGTATAGCTGAATACCGAGACACGTCAACACCTCCTCTTGTGCTATGTCGATTGTTTTTGCATGTCGCTCTCGCCTCCTGTAATGAAATAGAAATAGAAACATCAAGGGTCCAGTGATTTAACCAAGAACACTTGGTTAAATCATATGCAAGCAAAAGTTCAAGTGGATTTTGTTAACCAGTTATAAATATGTTTATCTGTAAAATTTATTTATACAATGAGAGACATGTCAAAAACCCATTACAGACCAAAATATGGGCATTTGTACCCTTGAGCAAGATCAGTATTTTGCCCTCTTAAGGTCAGCATATGATCTCCAAGGCTGGAGCACAAAACATGAATATTTAGTAGGTGATAAATAATATAATCTTACCCTCCATTCAGATCTGGTTCAGCCCTAGTGATGAGCTGTGCAATAAACTCTGTATCACACAACACATGTACATGCCTCTCTTGTGGACAACACCGTAAACCTTCATAGAGCGTTGGACAATAACCTTTCTCCTGACAGCTGTCTACCTCCCCAATCAGTATGCTGTACGCACGCATCACTTTGGATTTACATTCAGTACAAAACCTAGAAACAATCAAATGATACGGCAGTCAGCAAGTTATTCAATACTACAAGTAATCATTGACACAAGAAATCGATATAGAGTTTTCATAGTACAGCAGTACGATAGTTATTATGTAAATTACCTAATTATTGTAAACAAACAAATATCTGATATTCAGTTACTCAAGCAGAATATATATTGCAGGTTTCATTCCATAAAACCAAGATTATCGTTTAATTTTTAATGCTATTAATTGTTAATATATAATTTGATAGCATCCGTGTAGACGGAAATTTCATGACGGTGATTGAGAATATCCAAACACCTAAATAATTTTCTATGAATCTGTTCTCACAAAAATATATCTACAGTATTTACAGAGTAGTACTGAGACACAAAAACACAACTTACTCATTAACATAAAGATATTAATTACAAATAGTTATCACAGTGTTTCATACAAACACAACCAAAAGAAAAGTGCTGATCATTATGCAAATTAAATAATTACTATGCGCAAATTTGTAGAGCAAAACTAATCCAGTCTTTATTTGCTATGTGGTATCTGAGTACTAAATTGTATCTGCACACAAGGAGGAATTAATTTTACAACAGAAATAACAAAAGTTATAAAAGTAAAACAATATTTGACATACCGATGTTTACGAAGATAAACTTCTGTTGTTTCCATGAGTGCATCTGCTTCTATGACGGTGACTTCATCCCTACATTCTTGAGATAAGACATCCCATACATCTAACCAGCTCCTACAAAACATACAACAAATAGAAGATAATCACAAACAATTAACACGCCGCAGTTAACAATTATTCACAAATTGAGAAACCAAGGTTGTGTAATGTAGGTTTATTCCCAGGAAAGTCGATTTCAAGATAAAAATTTCTAAAAAATGTTCTTGACTTATTCAAATTGTGAAGGGAATATTTGACTATTTTGATGCCCATCAAGGCATTGAGGTAAGTAATGCAGACAATAGGCGACTTTTTGTTTACTCATGCAAGATCTAGTGAAATGCATGAAAGATGAGCTTTTAATGTTTGATAATATAATAATTTTGATTTTCCAGTATTCGTTTTATAAATTCAATATCGAAAGAGAAAAATATGATATCTTTACTTCATAAAAATTGACCATTGTCAAATAAGTACAGCAAATACTAAGCTTGGAAATACCCCAAAATTTGTTGAATCTCGCACAAGGTTTTAATGCCACTACGACAGATGTTTGTCCTGTTTTTATGTTCAGTTTCATGCATTATATAGGATGAATTTCAAGTCCTGTCCCAAATCAAGAGTAGTAACACATTATGAAATTATGACCAAGACTTACACCTGCTGTAAACAATTGAATTTTATATTATCACAATTTATAGAGTGTTATTGCTACTCTAAAGAAACCCATTAAAATATTCACTTCAGCTGAAAAATAAATGTGTATGTGGTTACTTAAGGTGTTTTTCCTTAAAGGCTAGTGGTAATAACATAAGTTCAATAAATAATAAATCACCATACATAACACATGTAAAATACATTCTGTGTTTTTTACATGAAATTCTAATGCACACTGCACAGCAACAATCACCCTTAAACTCTTGATATTATTTTTTAACAGATAGAATTTATATATGATTTTAGTTTATTTGTTCACATACAAACTCATTATTTGTTTGGTAAACAGCACGAAATAAATATACATTATATAAGAAACAGTATTTCTGGCTCAGTGCCAAAATAAATTAGAAGTTTGTAACATTTTGGTGAAAAAGTACTACCAGTATGATGAATAGAGCCATGACCTTCCTTTATTGGAGTCAAAGTGGCTGTCATTATAATAGTATTAAATGTAGCATGGCCTCAAATCCGCCATTGTAGTATGCTCTGTTGACCTGTCACCAAGCTAGGGTATGTTTGTATATTAGATTACAATACTGTTGTCCTGATACACTAGGTACCAGTACCTACCACTGCCCATTTAACAAATACTGTAAAATACTTTATTTTAGCTGGATTTAATTTTCGCTGTATAGACCTTTTTAGTGATTTGTATGGAATTTATTTTCACTGATTTTTGACAAGTTTAATGTAAAATATAGAAAAAAAAGATATATTCACTGGATTTTATTTTCACTGAATCATTCCTTCAGCGAAAATAGCAAAAATTAATTCCAAGCGAAAATAAAGTATTGCACAGTAGTGTAAAACACATTAATTATTCACTGGGTTTTAATTTCACTATTTTTACTGATAAGTGAAATCTGCTCAATTAAATCCACGTTGAAATGTAAAATTATAATATTACATATTGTTTCTTTTGAAAAAAACAAAAATTTAAATCCAGCGAATATGATCAAATATCAAAATACTGAAATTTAATTTATAACCGTGAAAACGAATGCTTTGATTAGCTGTAACGTAAAAAGGAATAAAATAAGTTATATTATATTATATTCATGTAATGCAACAACAGGTCAACACAACTACATCATTTTTAAGTGACATTGTGAAAAGACTACAGCCTGTTCATTGCATGGTAGAATACGTGCAATTTGTGATGACTATTTGCAAACATTCAAATAAATCTGAAATTCAAAATCTTGTTTTACATGTCACAGTAAAATTTCAGTTTGACATTAATTTGTGAAAGCTTAAGAAGCCAGTTTAATTTCAACAGAGAAATTTTAAGCATTTTGACAAAGTAAAAGTGGAACTATAGCATGTAGTGTTTTGCCATTTTATGTCCTCTCACTCCTTAGATCAGAACAATCTACTTTTGTTTAGAGTGCCTATCTAAATTCTGATTCTCAAAGCTACTCCCAAAGAAAGCATTGCACAAGAAAATATCGCAACCTGGTTAAAAGAGTGAAAAAGTCAGTAAAAGGGGGGGGATCACTGACAGTTGACAACAATCATGGTGGCCAAAAGAGAAAGTCTTGCAATTTTTTTCCTATGGCCTCAAAATTACTGTGGAATACTTTATTTGTCGCTGGAATTAATTTTCGCTGAAAAGGCTTTTTGGGCGTTTTGTATGGAATTTATTTTCACTGATTTATGATGAGTTTAATGTGAAATATAGGAAAAAAAAAGTATATTCGCTGGATTTTATTTTCACGGAATCATCCCTTCAGCAAAAATAGTGAAAGTAAATTCCAAGCGAAAATAAAGTATTCTACAGTATTCATCAATTTATGTCTTTTGCCAGTGTCCAGATAGGACTTGCCACTATTGCTGAGTTTTCGTTCAACATCAAGTTGAACCGATCATTTGTACCCACTCTTCCCACCATCCACGATTCAAATTAATTGGCAGAATTCCTGGATGATTTAAGACACCATCCTGATGATGGAAACTAGGTCTTCATCAAGATTTGCTACATGCCCCATCAAAAAACATGATTTTTGGATCTGAGTACCCTGGTTGCTAACCGGTTGAGTGCGATAAATACAGAAAAATGCTGCGGAGAAACAACATGTTGAGGTCTGTCATGTTGGACATTTTTGAAGCCTTATTCAAACCAAAACCAAACATAGCATGTCTCAGTCTTTGATATTTCACTACAAACTGAATTATGGCTAATAATTTCGTAAACGCTGAAACCAAACGAGTATTCCTGTAACTTGTCTGAAAAATGGCGCTAAACACTTGCAGTCCCTCTTGTTCGAGTTTTTCATGTTTTGGGCTTTACAAGACTAAACTAGCTCATACCATTTATAGCTTAGGGTTGAAAGATGCAACTGTTGGTGAATATTAGAATTTTTTTTGTTTGAACTTATTGTCGAAGTAATTAATAACTTAAATTAGAAAGAACATTGGAGCGATATTTTCTAGGTGAGTGGTGGAATGAACTCCTTCAAATAAAGGGCATACCCAAAGTTGTTTAGATTAATGTCTCAGTTGGCCTGTGTTTTGTTGCTTGGGTGTCAGCTGTTTTGCAAATTGGGTAGCCATCTTGCAAAACTGCAGTTTCATGCACATACTCCCTATCAGTAATCTTGTTTATTCAACAAAACTTGGGTAGGTCTTGGGCACGGTAAATGTGAAACAGGCGAATAACGCATCTCAGTGAATAGTGATATTCTACAAGTATGAATTATGACATTTCAAGGTTGTATGTCATACTTGTACACACCCCTTAACCTTTCCACCACCAGACTTTCTCGCCCACATTTTTGTCGCACTTTGTTCTTATATTTTTCAATATTTCTGGAAATAAACCCTAATTTTAGAGCCAATTTTGAGTTTTTACTCAAAAAAATTTGGCTATTTTTGTCCTAATTTTCTGAAGGAAAGTGCAGACTATAATCGGTGAATTTGTGATGAAAAGAAGGAAATGGCGGTGAAAAGATCTTTTAATGACATTATGTCATTACGGTCATTTTCTTGAGTCAGTGTTGTGTCAATAAACATACCATATAACCCCCAAAGGTGGCTGTAAACCCATCAAAATATTTGTACAAATCATCCAATATTAATTGTATAGAAAACTCATAAAGTGTTTAGGGGTGGACCATTAAAAACTTTGGAGAGAAGGAGGTGATGGCACAAAAACTATGCAAAATATTATTATCCTTCACTTAGTTTTGTGCTAATTGTTTTTTCAATGATGAATTTGCAGTAATTTTTTGTTGATTTCCTTTGTGTGTAATATTTTTTTTTCATAAGAAATAGACACACCTGTGTTTCTAATGGTCCAGCCCACACGCAGGATATACTGGGTTACTAATTTATTCATGAATATTAATGACAATATGTCAACTTCCTTACTTGAACTACAATGCATACATTATGCATTTAAACACCAGTTAAGCAGAAATAAAACATTTACTTTCTGAACTTAATAGCCAACCAAATGAAAATGGTAAACCTTAAACTGCAGTCTTATTCAGGACACATATGCGCGATTTGGGGCCTATATTTTACCATAATTCCAACCAGATATCACTCAATAAATCTGTTAACTGAAAATGATGTCATGGAAATTCCCCAACAATGTAGTTTAAATATATACCCAACCATTCCGAGAGTACCACATATGCCCAGAAATATTCATTTTTCAATGTAAACACAATGAAAAATAAATAAATTTTCAATAAAATGAACGAAGAAAGTATATTTTTTTGGTAAAAACAAAAATTTACTTCACTAACATTGAGGAGGGGGGGGGGGTATCCTAATTAAAAATAAATAAATTACCATGTGAGTAATGCCTGGCGATCTGATGTTAGTTAAGCAGCTTTGTTGTGAAAATCAAAATACATGACAAAATAAAGTAAAATAATTTCAACCAAACACAAAAGCAAAGACTTTTTGACCTTTGTCACCAATACCTCCCCACTATAGGCAGGTGGCCACTCTATATGGTAGAAGCAGTGAGTTACATGGACTGAAAATTCAAATGTAGAATATTTGTGCCCGAGTGGCAGAAAACTGAATGTGAAATATTTTACTCACCCTATAAGCTTAGTTTTTTGTGTATCCAACGAATGTAACATGCACCTTTTGTTTTTCTTGACTTTTGGTATGTTGTCCATCATACTATTCAACTGTGACCTGCAATAAAAATAATGAAGATGTCATCGTTTCTTGAAATTGCATTAATAAAATTTGTTTATCAATGGCGACAGTTATATTTAGTATTACAGTATTTTTTGTGTTCATTTGTCATGTTTTTTTTTGCCGACAGCTGGGGCTAGCGGCTATATTAGATATGCTAATAACAGCTAACTCATGTAACCAAATAACAGGTGCACTTGTTTTTATGTCACAAATTTACTACACAGAGACTTGGAATAGTTGGCTTCGGTGCTATTTACAAGTACTAGGTTGGTTTACTGGGCAGTGCTGGTGAATGAATGAATGAGGATGAAATATGGAGGTTTTCTCGCTGGCAGGTGTTTGGAGAAATCTAAATCTAGCATAACTGCTCATATCCAGGTGTAAGAAACACATGCCATAATATAGTTGTCTTTATACAAACATAAATACATACATACATACATACATGCATACAAAATTAACTGAGTGGTGTGTCCTACATTCATGTAGGTGGTTTTCCTTTCACTGTGAGATCCTATGTATTGCCTGAAAGATGCATACTGAACGACTGTCACACAAATCAAATTATTTGATTTTGAACTTTATTTTTTTTATAGCTCTATGTCAAAATGGTGATCTTTGGGAGGATAATATGGCAATGAGATATCCTCATTTCATCAAAATTGGCCATAATCAAATGTGTATAAAATGAAATACCGTTAAAGTCCTATTATAAACCGCGGTTTATATTACAATGTATCAATTTAAAAATTGGGATCAAAAGCTCAAGTTCGGGGTGCGGTTTCTATTACGTACATATTGCAATCACTAAATGGGCGTGGTCATTTTTTGTTCACAACACATGCACAAAACAAA